ACGTAAATTTAAAGGTTAAAATTTTGGGTTAAAAATAGATATAGAAAAGAAAAAGAAAACAAAAAATGGAAAATTTAAAAAAAGGGAAAAATAAAAATGTCTGATTTTTTTCCCCATTTTATTTTCATAATATAATTACTCCAAAAATTTATTATTAAAATATTAACTTTGTTCTGTTTTTCTTCTTCTTTATTTCGTTGATTTTACATTTTACAAACAAAATAAATGATTTACTTACAATACTTTCATAATTTTCAAAATATCTTAGTAATGACAGATTAACTGAATGATACTTGACATTTTAGTATCATGTATTTTTATAAAAGGTGATTGACACGATTCACGACTAATAAGAGAAATAATTGCATGTAATTATTGAAATTATAGGCGGATGATAGAAAGAAGAAATTTTTATTTCGGCAATTCTTATTATACTCATTTTAGTAAAATATTATCAGAGATTAGAATTCTTTCGTGTGATCTCTACATAACGTAAGTCTTTATTGATTACAACAAACATACTTTAATAACACAATTTTAACATTAATTTTTCAACGATATCTTATTGAAATCGTCTCAATTGATGATTTACTGAAAACAATACAAAATATTGCTTTAAATTTTTATTCACTTACATAATATAAATGTTAAATGAATAACTACAGGGCGCCATTGATCTATAACCAAATTAAAACTAAAATGGTTCAATCGAATTGGAGTAATAATATTTACATAATTTTCTAGTACCTTATTAGTTTGCACTTAAAAAATTATTTTTTCATATTATTACATGTTATATAACTTTTAAAATATTAAATAAAAGAATCAATCAAAAAAATTGCAAAAACAAAAATTTCAAAATTATTATTAAAAAATAATATCATTTTGACATAATTGTACCAATATTGTACCAATTTTGATTATGAATACGATTCAAATACGCATGCTTAAATAAATTTATTTTAAAAATCATAATTTTCTTCAAAAATCATTTTACATATACATAATATATATGTACATAAATATATAATACGGTTATTCACACTATGTGGAAATTTTTAAAAATAAAACTGCACCGCATAAGATCAGTGGGTCTTTTTTCTTATTCTTCTGATTTTGTCCAATTTTTATAAAAAATTCATTTATAAAAAATTTCAAAATTTAAATACATAGCTATATTAATATATGAATGTGTGCATATGTTAAAGCAAAATGTTTAAAATTTTTAAACAAAATTAATTTTATTTATAATTAAATATACATATATACGTATGTATGTTAACACATACACAATATATACATATCTACTCTTAAATTTAAATGCTTATGATATTTAATGAAAAGTTAATATGAAAAAATCCAACGCCCTCTTTCTATAAGTATATAGGATACAATAAAAAGTTTAAAGCTATAAATCCATAATACATTCGCACATTATAATGCATGTACATATATATACAATTATTTTCATTAAGTACTTATGTGTAATTTAACTCTCTTCTCATTCAAATAACAATTGAATTATTGCTCGTAAATTTCATGTGTCAAAATTTTTATAGTCAAATTTTAAAAAATATTAAATTGAGTAAAGAATATCCAATTCTTTTTTACAAAATGTTTGGGTTAATTAAGTTGGTTATACTAGACAGAGAGAGGGTTATTAAAACTTTATAATCTAAAACCTCTGATTAAAACAACCAACACAATTGAAGTTTATTTTGTCATTTAATGAGTTTAAAAACATGTTAATAAATTTAGAAGTAGTTTTTTTTTTGTAATCGCTCGACCACTTTTTTTAAATACGATATTTAGGTTTCAGAATCTGTAATTTTTGTTTTTGTCATATTTATAAACTTTTTTTGAACAGTGACTGATTGCAAAAATTGACACGAATTTAGACATCTGCACCCAAATAATGAAAAAGAAAACTTAATAAGGTTAAGAAAAGTTAATAAGGAAATAATATTAACTTGGCTATTTTTTAATTCATTCCAGCGATAATTCCTAACTTAAAATTTGGACATAACTTTATTTACAAACATATAGACAATGTATATACTCGTATATACATCTGTAATTTTTATATTTTTAAACACAAAAGCATTTGTGAGTATGTAGGTACAAACCTACAGACCTATAAATTAAAAATATAAAATTTATTATATTGAGACAATTTATTAAATATAATCAACAAAATTTTCTTTACTCAATTTATAGTTCAAGTACACGGGAGCGCATATGTCCCAATTGTATAATAAAATACAAATAGAATATAATAGTAAAATACTTAATTTTTGTAAAAGTCCGCATTGTTAATATACCAGTGCTGATTTTTTGTTTAATATATTGAATTAAAGAAAAGAAAAACACAGATTACCTATCTCTAGATAATAAATAAATTAAAAATTTAATAATACTGACATTTTCAAACTAAATTTTCTAAAAAATTTAGTTTCATTATTTGCCTACCACCTTCTTCACTAAATGTCGTCCATGTAAATCATAATATAAAGTTTAATTACTTATTGAAAAGAGCTAAAAGTAAAAATTAATGAAATTAAATCTTCACTAGCTTCAATTCAGTGCAATTATTCCAATCCAAATAGGTAAATGGGTAGGTACCCATAATTATTTGTAATGTCAATACAAAATACCTAGTCATAATATTTAATAGAAATTCATATAACATTAAAAAATAATTTAAAAAATAAATTCTAAGTATGTATAATAAATAAATGAAATTTATTTTTTTTTTATTTTCATCTCTTACAGAATTTCAAATTTTATTAGACAGAGATATAAGAATTAAAAAAAATTCTTGAATAATAAAAGAAGTAAATAAGAGCTAAACCAAACTATAACTATGTAGGTACCTACTTAATAATTATAAAACTAAATAATAGGTAGTAGATAGGCATACCTATTAAATTAATTTTTTATTCTTTTGCTCTCTTACTTTACATCAAAAAGAGCACTAACCTTTTTTTCGGATTTTAAATTTGGCTGTAGTAACTTATAGGTCATTAACTTTAAATATTAAATTTTTATATAAATACATATATGTATGTATGTATAACCAATTTTTGTTTACATGCTACTTCAGACACATTTAACAATTAAAAATGTGTAAAATTTAACTTTATAGAATCCCAAAATGTGAAAACTTATAAATCTAGATGATAGGTTTTATATAAATTTCATTATGCATTTAATCTATACCATTTCAATACTGTAAGAGTAATCGTAAGAATATATGCTTGAATATTTTGTGTATATAAGTTCTACCATGATTATGTTGGTCAGATATAGTATTCTTAGTTTAGGCTATTTCAATTGCAAATCATGTCAGAATTGAAGCCGTGAAATGTTATTTTCTAAAATCTCATGTATGAATTCGAATATTTGATTAAAACACCCTCTATTAAAATTGAATAGATCATTCACGAGATAGCAGGTAGGTAGGTAGGTAGGTAGGCACCAACCTAATATTGGATTGAATTTTAGGTTGTTAAGTCCCAACATTAAAAAATGTTTACAAATTAATTTTCGTTTTAATGTTTATGCCTTCATAAAATAAGACACAATTTTATATAAAAAATAAATTTTAAATTGCATAAAAAAAAAATATCTTGATTCTTGATATGGTAAGATATTTAATCCGAACTTAATCAAAATCGCGATTTTTCCCCACTTTTAATATAAAATTAATAATTTAATATATATATGTATATACAAAAAAAAAAAATTATAAAAGTTCAACACCATGTATTGCCACCATAGAATTGTTGTGCCTTTGATAAAAAAAAAAAAAAAAATACGTTGCTGAAAAACCTTATATGGTTGTTTATTTTCTATCTCATTTCCTCTCATCGAAAATTTATTACTTGTAGTGTGAAACAAAAACTTTTGATTTGCTTCTCTTGTTTGCTTATTATAATTTTTTTATATTCTTTCCTTCATTTTCTTATTTTCTCCAATACATTCTGTAGCGTAGGGTACAATACGACAAAATAATGTAATCTTATTGCTTTGCTTTAAATATTCTAAAAAAGCAATTTGCTGAATCTTAATTTCCCCTTAATAATATATGTATGAAATGCAACTTTTCATATTTTCAAATAAATATGTATACCTACTCAAATATCTACATTTATATACATTTTCTATGCAAAATATTAAAATAACATCCATATGAACTAGCTGATTTGAATTTTAAGCCATTAACAAAAATATTAACATTTACAAAACTATTAAATTTGCAAAAAAAAATTTATTAAAGTAAAGTGAATTTTTAAGGATTTCTCATATAGAATTCATGAAAAATTTTTTACAGATATTATTGTGAACTACAAGCCAAATTAAAATTTTCGGTATATAAATATGTACATACATATTTATATAATATGTACATATGTATATATATTTGTGTATGTACTTATTGAAAATATTACCTTTCCAAAAATTTCGAACAATTTTCACTTTTTTTGCTTTTTCATTTCTATTGGAAAATTTATGACACGCATTCACTGAACAGGCGAATTTTAGAATATCCCATGAACCAAAAAAAAAAAAAAATAAGAAAAAGCAAATGAAAATTTTCAGAGCCGCGTAGTTGCTGAATGGGTGTGAAAATTTTTTTTTTCTGCTTTATGTTATTCTCAATCTCTAGACAAAAGAAATTTTCCATTAAAGTTTCCATACAAATTCAACATTCGAATATTTTAATTAACATGTAGCCAAAAATAACTTATTATATTTGAAAATATTTTTTTCTTCATTAAAATGAAAACCGGCATTTTACCATGTTAAAACTACACAACCACATTGCCAAACTCCATTATAATTTTTTTTTTTCATAATATACATATGTATATGTACTTATATTGTTCAAACGCACACATTCAAACTTCAAATGGCAGACAAAAAGTAGGAAGGCAATTTTTTCTTTTTCATTAAATTTTACGAAATTTCAAATTTAAAATTATAGTAAATGCACTCACCATTTTTTTTTAAATAATTTTTATTTTGTACAATAAATCCTTTGGAAATTAAAATATCTTAAATTCAAGTATTTAACGTTATATGTAGCTTTTGTATTGGTGTTAGTAGACGACACCGCGGACTGAAATTCTTTTTTTTTTTTCTTTGACTTTTTTTTTTAGAACCTTTTTATTTTTAATTAATTTTTTTAAATAATAAAAAAATTTTTCAATAATTAATAAATTATTTTAATTTCTTTCTTCTTGAACCAGTCACAATAGAATTTCTTTACGATGATAATACAATTTCAAAAAAAAAATTGTTAAAGTTGTAGTGTGAACACACTGTGTAAAAGAAAAAAGAAATGCGAATTTTTAATGCTTATAAAACCACACGGCGATTTAAACCCGGTGAAACGACTGACGAGACGATACTGAACGAATAGTCGAATGAAACAGAATAAAACAGTGAAAAAAATTAAGAAAAACTACTCAAAAAAAATATATGTATATATATATATATATAATTAATGACATTTAAAACGCAAAATGACATTTTGGATGGCGATTGATAACTTTTGAAGTATAATGTTATTTCCGAACTCAAAACACAATGAATCGCTTTCGCTAGTGTTTGTTTTGCTGAAAAATATTGATTTTAAAATGTAAATTATAATTAATTTTCAATTTCATATTACAATAATACAAATAAATAATATATGTTGTAATTTTGAAAAACCACCATTTTTGCATTTTTATTTAGCAAATGTTTATTGAAGAATAATATTCGTGTCTAGTTTTTTTTCTTTTAATAATAAGAAATAAGCTCAAAATTGAATTTTTATTTTCAGCTCGGTAAACATTGTTATAAGTATTGTAGTTCGTTTGGAATCCTTCGTTCGAAAATATATAGTTTTGGAATTACACTTTTATTTGTAAAACGTAGTACGTGATCACTTTTCTTACAAGTAATTCCTTTTTCATTTTGCAAAAAGAGATTTAAAGCATCAACCTAAATGAATTTGCCAAAGTTATTAAAAGAGAGCAGAGAGATTTTTTCTTGTAACGTTTCTCTAAGTTAACATACAAATGGTGCTGGCATTTTAACTGGCGGTTGATAACTCCTGCAACTACTTTCACGATTTACCTGTTAGCCGAATGTTTTTTCTATATTATTCCATAGTTTTTTCTTCACGAACAAAAATAACACTAGGTACTCGTTAGCCTTATATTTAAATAAATTATATTTTTATGCACACTTACTTTATATCATTCCTAAATTTATTTATCGTGGCAACCATCCTTTAAAAAATAAAATTGAACGCGACAAAAAATTGACATGACACTTAATTCTGATTCTCTTCTGCGTCTTACAAAGAGGAAAGCTTTGTATAAAAAAAAATTTATTTTTTTATACAAAGTTTTTATAAATTTCCAATAATCTGAATTTTAAAATTTTAGAAGTTAAAATATTTAATTACAACAGTGCATGTGAATTTTCATAAATATAAGAAGGATACATTATTATATTATCTTAAAGTTTTGTTGTCAAAGACTGTCCAATTATTTTTGACATAATACCTGGCACAAATCACAATGTATTTTTGCACATGTTCGTAAGGTTATAAAAGTATAGTTATAAATAATAACAAAACTATTAACTAATTTTTAAATCAATTCTGGAATAAGTTATTTGCGAAGAATTTTCTTAAATATTATTAAAAGATGTTGGAAAATGATAAAAATTATTTTTCGGATGATAATGAAGAGGTAGATCCAAACAATCATAATAATTTACTGCAGTCTATCAGTCGTTTAGGGGTAAATCAACACATCAAAGAGCCGACTAGAACTGAACCCTCTTTAAAAGTTGATGAATTTCATCTGTCCAAAACTCGATCAATCAGTCAAGTGAAAATCAAAGATAATATAGTTTTAGTCGATGATTTAGTTAAAATCTTAAATAAAGACAAGAGTAACGCAAAAGTAACTAAAGAGTTAAAGGCCGCACATTGGGGAACGAAGGTTTTGCCAAAACCATTAGAAAAACCTGCAGCAGATCGGCTAGAGCGGACTATAGGTTACGACAGACTAAAATCTAAATTGAAGAAGTGGAATGCCGTAGTAGCTAAAAATCGGCAGTCTGATCATCAGGTTAGTACAAAAGAATTTTTGTAAATCAGTTTTTCAATTATAAAAATCTTTTAGGTATTTCCTCTTGACTATGAAGAAATTCATTTAGATACAACAAAAATATCAAAACCCAAACCGGCGAATTTTTCTGTTAAATCAGAGCTTCAACTGGAAATGGAGGCTTTAGAAGAAAAATATAAGGCGCTAAAAGGTATTCAAAAAGAAACCGTAGATGAAGAAGAAGAAGAGCGAAAAATTCAAGAAAAATTAACTCGTGATGAGTTGATAGCAAAACGAAGAGAATTAGCTTATTTACGAATGCAGCAATCGCAAAAATCAGCTAAAGCAAGATTGCACAACAAAATTAAGTCAAAAAAATTTCACAAACTTTTGAAAAAAGAAAAACTTAAAGAACAGCTAAAAGAATTTGAGCTTTTACAAAAAACTGATCCCGAGACTGCTATGAAACAACTGGAGAAAATTGAAAAAAGCAGAATTATGGAAAGAGCCAGTTTGAGGCATAAGAATACTGGCACATGGGCCAAAAATTTGCAAGTTCGGGCAAAATATGACAGAGATGCAAGAAAAGATTTGGCTGAACAATTGGCTATTAGTCGTGAATTAACTCAAAAGCATAAACAAGGAAGTGATAATGAGAACGAAAGTGATAACAATAAGGAAAGTGATGCAGAAATGGATGGAGAAAATATGGATGATGGAAATGACGATGTTGACCCGTTTAACCCTTGGGTCAAGGTTGGTAAAAAAAAGAACAAAAATGAAACTGATGAAATTTTAATGGGCTATAAAAAATATTGGTTAGAGAGAAATGAAAATGAAAAGGCCATTCAAGATCATAAAAAACAAATAGAAGAAATTAATAAAGAAAATGGAGCTTTAAATTCTATTGAAGAAAACGTTGAAGATGATTTATCTAATTTTAATGAAAAATCTATGATTAAATTAGAAAATGATGCAAAATCAAAACTAGAAAATGAAAATGGTATGTTTGCTCACAACAATTTAATTTTAATTGTTATCTTTATATTTTATTTTTTTCAGAGAATCTAAAGCAAATGGATGAAAAATCTCGAAAAATAAAAAAGAAATCCAAAAGTATTAACCTTCGAAAAAAAGGAAAGAAAGGAAAAAAATCTGAAGTTATTATAGAAAATGGTTGGATTGTTGAGGAACTCGGCAGTGACGATTGTATTACAAAAAACAAAAGTGATTCCGAAAATATTAGTGATAATGATTTCGGAATGTATGACAAAAAAAAAGTTGAATTACTTAACAAAGATATTGATGACATTTTTGATGAAGCTGAAGATAAAATTCAGGAAAAGTTTGCTAGAAAACTTAAAAATGTCAAAGACATTATGGAAGAGATAGAGGCAACTAGAAAGCAAAAATTAAAGAATGAGGCAAATGTAATTGGGGAAGAAGATGAATTGGAAAATTTGAAAAATTTATCTTTCAAAAACCAAAATCAGCGACCTGATTTTGATCAAGAATTGAATGAGTTGCCAATGGGTAAAACAATAAATATAGAAAAGCCGCTAGAAATATTTTCTGACAAGAAGATCAAAAACAATGAAAATGATAGTAAGACAAACGATCAAAATAACGATTCCATCGACCCAAATGATTTCGCAAATATTAAACCAAAAAGATTACATTCACTTGTAAATGGTGACTCAAAAAATTATATCAATGAAGAAGTTGGTGACGAGGATGACATTGATCCAGACCTTAGTAGGCAAATGACTATAGCGGAAGCGTTTGAAGATGATGATGTAGTGGTTGATTTTACTAAAGAAAAAGATAACAAAAACAAACAAGATAATGAAGTTGACTTAACAATGCCAGGTTGGGGTTCTTGGGCTGGCTGTGGAATAAATAGTCGAAATAAGAAGCGGTTAGTTTTGAAATTTCCCGAAAAAGAAAAGCGTCGTGATGATAACAAAGGAAATTTATATATTAATGAAACTGTAAATGAACAGCTAAAAGATCATTTAGTTTCTGATTTACCATTTCCATTCACTAGTGTTAAAGATTATGAAGCTAGTATTAGAGCGCCTATCGGTAGAACTTTTGTACCAGAAACAGCTTTTAGAGTTTTGACAAGACCATCTGTTGAAACTAAAATGGGGCATATAATACAACCGATGAATGAATCTATTTTAGTGAAAAAGCCATTTTCTAGAAGAAAACATATTGTTGACAAAAGAATAGGAAATATGTTGAAAGAAAGTAAGAAGAATTATTCAAAAAAATCATAGCATTTTTATTTTTTCTTTATAATAAAAGAATTTTATTTAAAAATTTAAATAAAAAAAAAACTTTTCTTTAATTTTAATTCACACTATTTACCGTTTTGACTTTTGTATTCATACTTTGATTTCAATTGCATTTTTTAAAACAAATATTCTTAAATAATATGAATTTCTAAAATAATTTATTTTCTGTTTTTAAAAAACAATTGATATTTGTTCAATTTCTTTTAAGTCTGCATAAAGTTCTTCAACTTTTGTACCAATTTTTTTTGCCACTTCAATTTTTTCTACAAACGGCAATTGTAAGTACGCGTATATTAATTCACCGTCAACTATGCACCGAGCAGGGTTTGCTTGTAACTTTCTAGAACTTCTTATTGTCCTGAATGCCTTTGGATTTAATCCTGCTATGTGTTCGTTATGTGTAAATAGAACATTTTGCAACATAAATAATCTTCTGTACGTTTTTTCAGGTAATGGTAAACAATATCCTAAAGCACCGTCTAAAGTTCCAAATATTACAATGTGACGATTTTGAAAATTGAATTGAGGCCGACCATAAATTTGACGAACATCGGCCGGATTTTGAGAGCATTGCATTCTAAACATTGTGTTTACACGTTGTCCGAAGTGATAATCAGCCTTTCTTAAAAGTTTTTGCCCACCCATCGATTCTCTTGCCTCGGGTTGGTACATATATATGATGAAATTTTCTTCTGCATCTGTCACCAAAAATCCCAAATTTTGATTATCTACCATAAATTCAATGTCAAAAACATTTAAAGGTTGAAAATCTCGCGCTACTAAGGATAGTGTCCTATATTCTTCTTGGAATCTTAGTATACTGACAGATTTGTATACATCAGCGATTAAGATTAAAGATTTAATAGAAACTATTTTATGAACATATATATCTGTGTCAATGAAAGCAACTCCTATTAAATCGTTATCTTTCAATTGCCATAAATAAACTTTTTGTCCAATTGCCGTAACTAAAAATCCTAAGGTATGCGTTATTGCCGATACAGGTCCTTTTTGCTCTTTAATATAAATTTCTTTCAACTTAAATTTCGTAAGTGGTTTTCCTGGTTCTGGAACTACTTCAATGATATCATATATCATTATTTTGCCGCGAGAAGTTATATCTTCGCTATAATTGAAATTTGTTCCAACACATAAATATTCTTTTAAACCAGAACGGGTACCTAAAAAAACCAAGAAAAGTACAAATCATCCAGTACTTAAAAGAGATATATCATTTATTAAAACAAACCTTCGTACGCTAAGCTAACAATTTTAAAAGCTGTAACATGCTCCCATGGATCCAAGTCAATCGAAGCATCAGGAATTATTTCCCATGTATTTGGTGTAACCAAAACAACACTAAATTTGGATGCCGTTGGGTATATAAACCGCTCACCTTTATTTTCTTCAGTTAGTTCTTTGTCTTCACCATTAAATCTAAAATATTTATTAGTCTCTTCTTCTGTTTGTGTAACAACACAATAGACATGATTTTCTCGATGATATTGTATTTGTCTTGGGGTACATCTTAATGGAACCTTTCGAACAGGCCATGTGGAATCATATGTTAAATATGTTGGAAGAACTGATATTTTTATATCGTTTGTTTCATCAAAGTATACAAAACCATTGGGGCAATTGATATTGTTGAATGGCGTAAAACTTTGAAATGTGACTTCAGTGTTCATTCGATGAACTCTCAATTCGCCTCTGGACGTCATAAAAACAAAACGGGGATAATCACCACAAATCGCAACACCATTTAAACCAGATATATTTTCAAAGTACTTCATTTTGTTTAATTTATTTGTATTAATTTCATTCGGATTCTCATCATCATCTAAATTTATTTCTTGTTTCTCAATCTTATTTTTTCTCATTAATACATCATGATAAATTTTACGGAATCGAATTTTTATATGACCTTTAGTATATCGGTAAACGTGATATATTATTAAATCAGTGTTCGTTCTGACAAATAAAAGTGGACGATTTCGTTGACTGTTTCCCAATGAAGTAACTAGGATTTCAACAGCTGGAACAGTCATATTGTTACTTTGTCCTATGTTAAGAATATCTTCATGACGATTTGCATCTTTTATAGGTTTAGAGTCTGGCTGATTGCTTGCAAAATTGATTGGAACGAATTCCATTGCGTCTATTAAGCATTTCGAACCATTTCCTATATTTGAAATTAAATATACTAGTTTTAGATCAGGCATTGAATATATTTCTAAATTGCCGTTTTCTCTTGATAAACACAACCAGTATGTTATTTTAATTGGATGTAAGAATCTTTCCCACCATTCAATATTCTTACTCTTAGATTTTTTGGCCATGTCAGCCATTGTATTCATTTTAAATGAACTTCCACCTTCACCATATAACAAATCTTCTTCGTCCTCAACTTTCATATTAGGTTCTGGTTTTAAACTATAACCTACACCTGTTGTAGCACCGAATGTGGCTCCCGGTCCTATGGTGAAGTCATCCAATTTAGATGTGAAAAGACCAGAAGTATCTTTAAAAACACTTAGAGATATAACAGTTGGAGTACTACTAACGGTATTTTTATTAATGGCTAATCTTGGAACGCCTAAAAATGATGAAAATTGGTTTTAATTCAAATTAAAATATTAAAATTTTAAAAGTCATTATACCTCGTGTTTCTCTTAAAGCTAAAGTTATCACTTGACCATTCTCAGCTCTTATACAAACATATGGATCAACTAAAGATACTTGTGTTATGGGTGACCCCACATCCAGCGGTATATTCTGAATTAATCTTGTACTTTGTAACAATCTAATTGTTTTTACTGTTACTTGAACTATAAAACGATTGTTCCCCAAATTACCGACATATATGGTAGGTAAATCGGTACAAAATCCGGTATGCTCAATTTCATTGATTTCATTCCCAGTTTGTAAAACCAGTGTTTTATTTTTTTGTGTCAGAATCATGAAGTCATGATGGTTAAAATCTTTTCGACCCGCTTTTTGTTTATCAGTTTCAAATACTGTCCACAAATCAATGCATCCTGGCAACTCAAAACTTGTAATCATTTGAGGTTTAATTGAATAAGCTAAAATACACAAAGCTCCATTTTTACCATGTCCGCTTGAAGTTATTAATTCTAAGTTGTTTTTCTTTTGTTCATCTTCTCTGTTTGCTTCTACATTTTCAGAATCATTTATACGAGCTCCAAGGGTCATAAAACCAATAGGCCCAATGTTCAATAAACTGTCACATACCTCGAAAACAAATTTCGTTAACTGTACTGATGTTTTCTTTCCGGATCCATATACTTCCAATTCCTCTTCTTCCATTCTTAACCGCTTTTCTTTAGGTTGTTGTTGTGGAATTTCTGGTTCATTGTCAGCTATATCATCAATAGTTATAATGGTATTTTCGTCTTCTTCTCTAAATCTAAGTAACAGTGAATTACCCAATCTAGATCCTAAGAATATGTATTCGTTTTGACATACACAAATGCAGCTTGTCAACACACTCGAAGCGGCTTTATTGAAATGAAAATTTCGCACACTTCGCATTGAGTCTACGCATAATGTTAATACATAAAGTTCTCCAGTTTTCAATGATAAAACTAATTTATCACTGTCAATAAAAGTAATTTGTGCAGCATCTAAACTAATTTTAACACCATCTTGTGGTTTCAGAGGAAATGAAGTGCTATGATCAGCTGTACTGTTTAAACTAACCCCGTAAGGTGGAACACTTTGATTTAAATAAATTAAAGAATTAACAGCAAACACTAAACATCCACCAATAGGTTTCTCTATCGCCATGACTCTTAAGCAATCAAAAGGCAAACTGGTTACAGTCCATATAATCGGATGCACTCTCTGCTGTATATTCAAAGACAAAGCTACCAAAGTACAAGTATCTGAGCGAACAGCTATACGACCAGAAAAAGTTCTAACAGGCTCAAATAAAATTAATAGAGTTGGCTCGTAATAACCATGTAGAAACTGAAAGTCAATTACGTTATCGATTTTTTCATCCATATCTTTTAAAGCAATAATGTAAGAAGCTAATATTGGTGTTTTCGTAACTAATTGAGTTGGGGTTTTTTTCATTGGCTTAACATCGGCAAGTTCAATCTCATCTAATGTATTATCCTTTCGAAATGGTAGCACAACAAGTTGTTTACCAAATGCTAACATAACTGCACAACGATTATCTGGATCAACTCGAACAGTTGGTATATAAAAATTACTGTTCCAACCAGCTTTAATTTCATCTTCCTCAAAATAATGTAATGAAAGAGTTTTCAATTCATATGTGTCTGGATCATGTTGAACTACTGAAAGTTTTGCATCACGAAAACTTAATAGTAAAGCATCTCGATGCGATCCGGATAGAGAAACATTTTGCAAAGACATAATATTTCCGTGTACTGTATATTTTGCCAAACACTCTAATTTCATCTTTGACATATTGATTTCATATTTCCTATTTTGATAATCAAATTCTGGACGAATACTGTATACCTTTAAAATATTTGATCCAGCGGTTACCAGATTTACCTCAGTACTATTAAAAAAATGGCTAGATATTGCATGTTCAATCCCAGTAGCTGGATGTATTTGTTTACAAATTGAAAACATTTTAATTTGGCTTCTTTAAGGTTTTTAAATTAATTCACGGAAACATTAATAATTCTAAAATATTAACTTAATATTTCAACTTTCCGAATGAAATATTTAATGACTGATCGAACATATAATATTATTTTTTCTTTTCTCAAAACTCGTTCGGCAAACTTAAATTAAACAAAATATTTGATTGCTATAACCAAAACATAATGTTTTCTTAAGTGTTGACTACTATTTGAATGTGGCCGTATTACAAAATTCACAATTTTTAATTAATTATTCACAATGATACAACGATAACCATTGTTGACGGTTGCAATTAGCATGCTTAAATGATAAAAGCCCAGTTTTGAAACAGAACTTTTATAGCTCACAAATATTATGTCAAATAAGTGACAAAAAACTAATAATTAATGTTAATTGTTTATGTATCATAAAAATTAATATTTATCTTTTGCAAAATGATTTATAAGTATACTTTTAATTTAAATCATAATCATTAAACACTTTTTTTTAACATAAATATAGTTTTTTCAAGTAATTTTTCATAAATTTTTGTTTTGAAAATTTAAAGAAAAACCAATAATCGAAATTATTTTGTATGCCTATTTTTGTTGAGTTTTATATGCGTTGCTTAACTAAAGAAAGTATAGAAAGAAAAATCCGTCAAACAAATAACGCATATGTCAGTTATGGATATTTACGTTGTTTTTCAGTGAATGAAAATTTTCATACCTGGTTTTCCTATCTAATCTAGGTCATCAATTTCTAGGTTAGGCCTTAAGGTTTCTTAAATTCATGCTCCATAAAAAAATCAAGTTAGCTAAAAAAATAAATTTAAAGAAAAACTCATACAGAAATATTGTTAAATGTAGCATTGGTTTTAATTTAAGTTTCGTTAATATGAAAAATGAGTCGAGTACACGTCTTCAGTTCAAAGTTAAAAGAAATGTAGCTGGAGCCGGGTGTTTACTTTCATACAGATAAAGTAAAAGAATATGTCAGAAAAGTCATTTATTAAAAAATCTATTCTTGTCTTAAAATAACTTGATTAAAAAATTTTGACAATGTCAAAGAATATGTCTAAATTAATAAAACTTGCAAAAAAATTAAATAATAATTCTTAGTAAAAAAAAAACGCTCCGAGACAAAGTTAATTATATATTTTAATAAGATAACTCAAATAAAATTAAATGTCGTCTCGCGAAGAATTTTAATGTAAATTCTCCTATCTCATAAAATTTTTGCTCATCCAAATCGTTGACAAATTGTTGTTTATATATTGTACTGAAATTATCTCATTACGTTCAAATTTTACGTCAAAATTCAATAATTTCAGTATGAAAATTATAACCATAACAAAAATCAGCTGATTGCTGCACCAATCTACGAAATGTACCACAAAAAATTATTTGTCGACATTTTGTACTTATTCTCCAGCATTTTCACAGATGGCAGCCGAATTTTATGAAAAAAGGGCGACATCTACCATTTAATTAATAAGTAAAATAGTTAAAAAAAAATTGGCGGCTTAAATCACGTTTGACATTTTTCTTCATTACTATCTAAATAATTAGTGTGAATGAAATAATTCAATTTCATAACATTCAATTTTTCATTTGCTAGAAAAGGTTAGATATTTTCGACATTTTTACTTTTTACAATTTTTTCTGTTTTTGTTTTTACTTTAATATATTATTGTTCTTTTTTTTCTTTTTTATTTTTTTTTTTAGTTCGTTATTTGATTTCGTTTAATATTCGTTGATTAAGATGGCCGAAGAAAATTCTTTGCCGTCGGCTTATAGTCGTGTTAATAAATTTTTTGACTTCAAAATATATCAATACAAATTGACAAACTTAAATACTTAGAAAAGGCAAAAAAAAAAAGAAAAAACCGAAGGAAAAGTTTTTACAATTCAATAAAATTTTTAAAAGAAATAAGCAATTTTAAATTGAAAACTAAATTAAATAAAAAATATATTAAAATTAAAATTTCAAATACGATAAAATTAAAATTTTAAAATCAAATATGAAAATTGAACAACAAAAAAAAGAGTAAAAATAAATTGAAAACTTTTTCAACATCTTTCATTTTTTTCATATTTTTTTTTTCACTTGAGTTCGCCATACTTGTTTAAAAAAAATTTTTTTTTTGAAGTTTTTCGTCGTCTTTTTATTGAGAATTTTAAAGTTGAAGTTTTTAATTTAACATTTCACATTAAATACAAAATAATTATGTGAAAATATTTGCGTAATTTAGTGATTTTTATAATTAATTTGTGTTTTTTTTTCTTTTTGAAATCATTTAAAAAAAAACTTTTATATTTTCAAATAGAAGAATTTTTTTTTTTTATTGTGAATCAAAAAAGAAATTGAATTTGTGGAACTATTTTTGTGTAATTATTTTCTGGATCACAAATAAAAAATTGAAAAAAGGTATTTAAAAAAATCAATATTTTTTTATTAAAAATTTTACAACTCCCTTTTTTTTCTTAAATATTAAATATAAGTATGTACATGTATGTAAATGGCACAAATATGGCATAATTTTTTAAAAATTAAATATTTAGATTGGTAAGGAATGGAAAAAATTTTGTAATTGAAGTGGGTATATTGTAAGTACATAGGTGTGTATAGAAAAATTTAAATATTTTATTGATATAATGACATAATTTTCATTTTATTCCAAACAATTTCTTTGGTTCCGATTTATACAATTAAAAAAAATTATTATTAAAAGGGATGCCTACTTATTAAAATTTTGAACAAAAAAAAAAAATGTTTAATTAAATAAAGAAAAAGGAATTTGTACCAAGATGAAGTTTTGTTTTTCCATTTTTTTCTTTACTTTTCTTTTTCTTTTCTGTAATATTATTTATTGAATGGTAGGCTGAATGGCTGGCTGACTGACTTACTGATTATGAAAATGGTCACTATTTTGTATTGGTATTGTTTTTTTTTCTCGATATTGTAAAATATAAAAAGAACGAATTGTACAATAAATATAATTGTAAATATATAATAATATTTACATGATATTAATTAATAATTAAAAATATAATGTAGAATTAATATATACACATGGATATACTTATGTATTTAATACAGTATGTATTTATATACAATTTTTAATTTATGTAGATACAATATTAAATATCTTAAAAAAAAATGTTGATTTTTAATCATTTTATTATGGGTGTTGGGTAGGGAGGTAGGTAGGGTACATTGAATGAATGATTCAATATTTCAATACTGCGTCAAATAATAATAATTTTTTTTTTTTTTAATATACAAAGTTAATTTTTATTGTTTCTTTTTTTTCGTTATTTTTGTTTCTTTTTGCTTTATAAAACGAGAATTTTTTTATTATAATTCTTTTTTTTTTAATGGCAATAAGGTATATATGATAGGTACCTACATACATACATACATAATATATACATACAATATACATAAATATATTTATTTTTACTAAGAATTTATAAATATATCTATACATAAATATAAATAAATAAATAATATGAATAATAATAAGATAAAAAAAAAATTAGAAAAGAATAACAATTAGTACAAAATACTTTAATAAGCATGTAATTGTATATTATGAAGTTGTAGAATATTATATTTAAAAAAGATTGATGAAGAAAAAAAAAATAATAATAATTCCGTCGCACTTAACAAAAATATTGCACGATGGTATTTATTATACATGTACAAAAACACATCTATATACATGTGTACATACTAATAATAAATAAAATTTTATCATATAAAAATATCTATAAGATAATACACAATATTGTATATATATATATATGTATATACATATATGTACTTTGTAAAATATTGGGTTATATATATTAGTATGTGTGAATATAGGGTATGGAAGTATGTATATAGTTATGAACTACTGTGAGTGCATTTAATATATATTATAGGTTCTTTTTTGTATTATGTGTATTAAGTAAAATAAAACTCATTATTTTTTTGCAATTTAGAGTAATAATTTGCATTTACATACCATCATAGTAATAAGTAGGTATCTTTTACGATAAAATTGAAAACATACAAGATACCTACGTATCTTGTAGATATGTTATTCAATTTTATTTTTGTAAAACGGATTAATTTTTATAATCAAATTGATTTTGGTAGTACCCATAACTATTTAGGCATGTTACGGACATAATTTTAAAAGAAAAATATAATTATGTTTATATACAAATACATTAATTATCTTATCAATCTTTAACACATAAACGTCAAATTAATATTCAGTTTGCAAATCATTTTCATATATTTAATTTTGTACTTCCCTTGTACTTATAATTTAGGCATTATTTATCTTAATTCAATAATAAACATTGAAATTTTTATTTTATAAACAAATCAATTTGTTTCATTACAATTTTACATAATAAATAAAATATATACTTAAGTATGTAGAATATTTGATTTATTTAAATTCAGTGATTTTCAAACATTCTCTTCTATGTCAATAGATGGGTATAGTAGATATCTAGAATATATTTTGCACCCATTACTAACAATTTTAAATTAATTAATAAATTAAATTATGTTGCTTTTTCTTACTTTGAGAAGTAGAATCTAATTTTTTTAATATGGGTACCTAATTTTTTTTTTTTTTTGTGTATTGACAGATACATATTGTACTTTGATACAATATAATTTTGTATAGGTATGTACTTATCCATTAATACATACTTACATATAAAAAAATAAAAATATAAACTTAAAGGCACTATGTATAAATGTATTTTAATGTCATGTAATGTATATATTTATGAGGAAAGCATATCAGTGTTAAATACACTATAATTTTCTTATGTTTTTGGTTATATGCATGGGTATCTACATAATAAAAGCGGTTATTCCTATCAGAATATCAAGCGATATGTAAATTATATTGCGTAAGTAGGTACATATTTAGGCAAGTAAAATTCTCATTTATTATTTTCAGTTAAGAATTCCAATATTCTTTTTACTACATGCTTACGAGTATAAAGATGAATAACACTGCATAAAAATGTATAAATTAGATATAATAACAATTTCTATACGATACAAGTAGTTTCTTGTGTTCAAATAATAATAGAATTGTTCCCGTGTTTTACGTATGAAATGCAAAACTTTGTCACCTATAAATATAAAGGTTTATTCAA